TTTCAGTGCACAGCCCCGCTGAGTAGGGACAATATTTGGAGAGGAGAAGAGAAGGTCTCTGCGCAGAACCTCCATGCGTAAGACCATCTGTCCCTCCGTCCTCACCGCCTAGAGGCTCTTCTCCGAACACCTCTCCTGCTCCTCGAAGGAGCGTGTAACTGTGCGCTGCACATCCACAGACTGGATCCGCCAGGCTAAAGGCAACATCTCCTCTCGTTGTATTTTTAATAAATAATCAAAATAAAAATGTGTGATGACTTTGAACTTTTAGGGGCAGAGCTGCCGGATCCGAACAAAGAGTTGCCGGAACAGAACTGGTCAAAATGAGAGAGTTCCCGGATCTTGTTCCAGCAGGATCTGGCTCAAATTAACCACTGAGCACCACTGTACAAACCTTAAATTACTGACTCTTCAGAGTCAGAGTCAGAGTTTCTTTATTGTCATTCGCACCTCATGTGGTACATGTGGTGGAGCGAAATTATGTTCACAGGGTCCCAGTTACATCCAACAATAAAATGTATAAGAAAACCAGTAATAACATCTAAGATATGAACTAAGAAAAACATCAACTAAATATACACTAAGCACTCATAACATAAAACATTGAACATCAGCACAAACATGAACATGAGTCTGTGAGCAGATGTGCACGCATGAACACATCAACATTGAAACAGATCAGCAGCAACATGAAACAGATCAGCAGCAACATGAAACAGATCAGCAGCAACATGATATGGTTTTTCACAGTGATTATTCTGGTTAGAGATTCATGAGTCTAACAGCCTCAGGGTAGAAGCTGTTCCTCAGTCTAGTGGTTCTACACTTAATGCTCCTCAACCTCCTTCCTGAGGGGAGTGGGACAAAAAGTGTGTGTGCTGGGTGAGTGGGGTCCTTCATGAAGCAGGTGGCCCTCTTCCTGCATCTGGAGGTGTAGATGTCTGTGATGGTGGGGAGACTGACTCCAACATCTTCTGTGCAGCCTTCACCACTCTCTGCAAAGCTTTTCTTTCTGCAGCTGTGCAGCCTCCATGCCACACGTTGATGCTGGAGCACAGGATGCTCTCCACTGCACACCTGTAGAAGGAGGTGAGGACTGAGCTTCCAGACCAGCTCGTCTCAGCTGTCTGAGGAAGTAGAGTCTCTGATGATCTTTCTTTATCAGGCTGGTGGTGTTGTTGCTCCAGCTGAGGTTGTCATTCATGTGTACACCCAAGTACTTGTAGCTGGAGACCACTTCCACCGCAGATCCTCTTATGTTCAGGGGGGTGTAGGTGTTTTTGTTCCTTCTGAAGTCCACAATCATCTCCTTTGTCTTCTTCACATTGATGTGAAGGTTATTCTCTCTGCACCAGCTCTCCAGGTGTTCCACCTCTTGCCTGTAGCTGGACTCATCATTGTTTGTGATGCATCCCACCACCGCTGTATCATCTGCAAACTTTACAATGTGACAGCCTGGATGGGTAGCTGCACAATCATACGTGAGCAGAGTAAACAGGAGGGGGCTCAACACACATCCCTGAGGAGAGCCAGTGCTGAGGGTTATGGTGGAGGAGGAGAGGTTGTGGATCCTCACTAACTGTGGTCTGTTTGTTAGAAAGTCTAGTACCCAGTTGCAGATGGAGGAGCTTAGTCCTAGTGTGGATAGTTTGTCCATCAGGGTTTAGGGGATCATGGTGTTGAAGGCGGATGTGAAGTCCACAAAGAGCATACGGACGTAAGAGTTTTTCTGCTCCAGGTGGTTGAGTGCAGTGTGGACCACAGAGGAGATTGCATCCTCTGTTGATCGGTTCTCACGGTATGCATACTGATGAGGGTCCTCGTTGATGTTGATGGTTGTTTTGATGTGAGTCATGACCAGTTTTTCTAAGCATTTAGCGACTATCGGGGTGAGGGCCACTGGCCGATAGTCATTCAGACCAGTCACTGTAGAGCTTTTTGGGACTGGGATGATGGTGGCAGTCTTCAGGCAGGTGGGAACTGTCTCCAGGGTAAGTGAGGTGTTAAAGATGTCTGCCAGCACCTCACAGAGCTGATCAGCACATTCTTTCAACACTTTTCCGGGGATGTTGTCTGGGCCAGTTGCTTTGTGCGGATAATGTGAAGTCAGTACTAACTAAAGTTGACAGAAAGATCTGAAAATGTGTCCGAAATTTCAAAGAAACTAAAAATCTTGTGTATTGTACATATATATATATTTCATGTTCTGCCAAGTTCAAGTTCTTTTCATTTGAAACTAGTTTATCGTCAGTAAGGAAACTTTAGTGGGAACTAGGAACATGCGATATGGCATAAAATTCATATCACGATATGTTTTGTGAAGGGTGGCAATAACGATATATATCACAATATGTTTTGGGTATAAAACTTAATAGGAATTTTTCAAAAAGCATAGGATGTCCTTTTGCCATCATAAATTTTGAATTAAGAAAATTCCACTACTAGGTCCAAAGAGTTTTTAAATATTAAACAAATCAAGTATTAGGCTTCTTTCTTGTGCAAAATAGTGCAAAATATATCAAATGTAGTTTTAGCCATGTGTTTTAAACAAAATAATATGTTGTTAACAGTTTCCAGTCTTACTTAAGAAATGAACAGCAACAGAGCAGCATTTTACACTGAAACACTTCACCCTCCAACCCTCTAGTGGGCGCCTCCTTCCACTTTAAGGAGAGCTGACACAAATTGAGTCTGTGGCTTTGGCCAGAGGGTCTCGCAGTAAAATCACACAACACATCGTTCTTTTCACAGATCAGAGAGCAGGTTTCTCTAAAGATGACCAACGCTTACTTTAACTTTTGATGGAAGAAAAAAAACAACTTTCGACGGAACACGGTGTTATGCACATGAGTCAGAATACGGCAACACTACGGCAAGCCGGGCGTAGTTAGCTTGTAGCTTCGCTACTTAGCTCTCGAAGAAAAGACTTTAACGCCACTTGCGCACAGTTTTCAACTAAAAAAAGTAACGATTAAATCTGACAACTCTGATTTTACATTAGACACAGCATTACTGCGGTTAGCCGGTAGAAGACAGATCTCTATCATAGGCTAAATTTCTATCGTTCTACCGTATACTGTATATATTCGCGCATTCCTAGTGGGAACTAGCCTGTCATGATAATAAATTTTGCTGAGTGATTAATTGTCTCGCAGCACGGTGGCGCAACTGGTAGAGCTGCTGCCTCTCAGTGAGCAGGTCCTTGGTTCAAACCCCGGTCCAGGGGCCTTCTGGGTGGAGTTTGCATGTTCTCTCCGTGCATGCGTGGGTTTTCTCCAGGTACTCCGATTTCCTCCCACAGACCAAAAACATGCATGTTAGGCTGATTGGTAACTCTAAATTGTCCCTAGGTGTGAGTGAGAGCGTGAATGGTTGTTTGTCTCGTTTGTCTCTATGTGTCCCTGTGATGGACTGGAGACCCGTCCAGGGTGTCCCCCACCCCTCGCACAGTGATTGCTGGACATGGGCACCGGCGACCCCCGTGACCCAAAATGGAAGAAGCAGGTAAAGATAATGGATGGATGGATGGATGGATTGTCTCAGAAATTATTGCGATAAACGATAATATTGTTTGAAATTTGACAATAATTAGTCATTGTCAAATTTAAGAAGAAATATTTAATTTGTTTTGAGTGCAGTGCCCTTTTTAACCACCAGGTGGCAGTATAAGACTGTTCGAACCTAAGGATGGATAGTGAGGGAGCGAGTCTCTAAGAAAAATGGGAGGGAGGCCCCTTGATATGACATGGGCTGTCCTTCCTTCCTTTTGCTTGGTTCTCAAAATGACGGACTCTCTGTGTGGTTTGAGCTCTTTAGCATAGCATTAGTCACACATAGCTTTTAATAAAAATAATAGGTAAACAAGTTCTCAACTTCTTTTTGCAGAGAAAAACAACTTTTTACACGAAGGCACGGGTTTCAACCGTGACTTTTGTAGCTTGGACAAGACAGAGTTTTTTTTCCTGAGGTTGGCCTGTTAACTTAGCTCATAGCTCAACTTCTCAGCTTTAGCAGCTTTTAACGATCCAAAAACGTGATTTTGGATCGTTAAAACAGATTTTAAAGAGAAAGGGAGGGGTCAATGAAGAGTTGAGTCTTTTGTCATCCAGTGTCTTCAGTAGAAAGAGAGACACACAAAGAAATGATAAGTCAGAGTCAGAGTTTCTTTATTGTCATTCGCACCTCATGTGGTACATGTGGTGGAGCGAAACTATGTCCACAGGGTCCCAGTTACATCCAACAATAAAATGTATAAGAAAAACAGTAATAACATCTAAGATATGAACTAAGAAAAACATCAACTAAATATACACTA